TGTTTTCAGAAATCTATTATAGCTTTGTTCCCAGAAATCTCAAAATAAGTCCAAGGCTTCCTAGCATGTGACCTTTTCCTTTATTTTCTTCTTTTCTTTCCTTTTTTTTAAAAAATCCAGTTCCAAAGATTTTGTTAAAAAGAAAAACAGCCATATGGGTCTCAGATCAAAAGAAAAATATTAATATGTTTGCTGAGTTCTGAAAATACAAACTCCACAAATTTCTATGAAAACACGAGAAAAATCCATCAGTCTAAACCACTGCAATTCCAGTCAGGGTCAATGTCAAATCATGACATGAGACATGTTCAACATTTTAATTCTATTTAATTAAATGTGGAATAAAATATTTTAATTGTTTTTTCCAAACCAGCACACGAAAATGAGACAGCCTCACAAATCTGTCACCCACAAAATATGTAAAAATGGCCTCAAAAATACAGATGCCAGTTGTAGTGGGATGCTCTACAGCATAGCCAGCCTCCACACCAGCAGAACACAGGGAAAGGCTGGATGGACACTGTGCTTCATGAAGGGCAATAAAAGAAAACTTGATCTCCTGCCTCTTCATCTAGCTCAGGGGAACAGGGCTCACGTGGGTTTTGTAGAGTCCACAGCATGTGTTGTCTTTGAAAAAGGGGAGAAACTATCAGTCCTTGTACAATTCATTCTGTGGCAGCCAATGCTGTGCCTGGGTCTCATGGCATGGGGTCCATTCCCATAAGCCATCTCTCCCATGGTTGACATGCAGGCCAGGAGATGTTATCTACTGGGCTTTAGGGACCAAGTAAGCAACACCTGTGGTGTGAGCCACCCTAGGAAAAGATCCCAGCCCCTGTGTTAATTCCTTATTCCCACTAAGAGCCAGGTACTAGGTGATACCCAGCAGATAAAACTCACTCAGCACAGACGGGTGATGGGGAATGCACGTCTGTGTATGTTTATCTTATTGATTGTTAAATAAAGTATTGTTTGGCCAATGAGGCAGCAAGTTAGATGGGACTAGGAGTCAAGGAGGATTTGGGGAAATGTAGTAAAGAAGTAATGATCCAGGCAGGCAGTGACATAGCAGGGAGACTCATATTTAAGCAAAGACAGTTAGGAACTGGTCCCTTTTCCCCTTCGCTTTTCCTCCTGCTCTCTGCTCGGAGCCACCATGTGATCCCTGGGATGAGGATGCCAGCCGAAGGTGTCCGATAAGATAAGTCTTATAAAATATATAGATTTATGATAATTAAGACTGAGCTAGCAGATGAGAAATCCTAGTCATTGGCCAAGCAGGATTTGTACCTAATATAAGTCTCTATGTATTATTTTGGCCATCCACATGGCGGGCAGAACTCAAGTGGGTGGCGGAAAGATTTATCGTAACAGACGGGAGCATATCTTGGGGTCTCACCTATACCCCCGTGTGGTAGAGGCATGTAATGCCCACCTGTCTTTAAGAATACATGTTTGGAGGGTACCTTCTCCTCTAGGTCTGCATTTGCTGCCTGGGCTGGCTGTATCCCCACATACACACAACTCAGAAGGCTGCTGGAGTCTGTGGTATTTTTATTGTAATCCTTTCTGTTTAAGTTAAACTTACTTTGGAGAGGTGTCACATTTGACTGCTTCTCCCATTATGTTTTTAGAGATCTCAAATTTATGATATAAAATTTCCCCCAGGAAGGGATGAGAACTCTACCAAGAAAATTATCTAGGAACAGAAGGCTGCCTGTAAACAGTAATGACAGGGGACACCCTGAGGAAACATCTCTGTCCACTTCTAGCTGACTTCTGTCACAAAGAAATCAAATTGTGACTAGAACCAGAGGAAGTCCAAGTCCTGGGGAGACACCTCACACTACGCAGTAAGGACAGGAGAGCCTCCCATTGTCATTTTGGCCCCCTTGAGATCATGGAGTCTCCTGGCCCTCATCACACTTGTCATGCCATTACTGGCCCTCAGAAACCATGGCAGCAGCTGCTCAGTCTGACCACTTCCTTGTGGTCCATCAGCAGGATACCTATCTGGAGTCATCGAAGAGAATGTGGCAGGAAGCAGCAACAAAAGATGCCAGGCTTTGTGGGATTACGTGACCACTACCACTTCCCACCACCCTCACTTCTGAAAGCTAAGGCTTCCTAGGCAATTGCTTCTAGAAGCTTCTGTCAGGATTACATCCTGGTATTTAAAAGAATTTTTCCATTTGTTCCTTCTGGACATACAGCAGAGACAGCAATGGTCAAAGCATAAAATTACACCTAAATTTTCTTGAAACCTATGTCTAGCACTCACTGCTCAGACATCAATGAGGGAAGGGCATGGAGCCTGGTATTGACCGCCCACAGCCTCTGGCACAATGCCCATAGGGAACCCCTATGTTTCAGCCACACTGTCTTTTCAGGTGACTTAGAAAACTGGGAAGAGAGGTCTGTGGAATTGCAAGAGTGGAACGATACACTTGACTCCTTGAATTTGAAAAGTATTCCCAAAATAAATATTTGATCTCTACAAAACGCAGACTCATTCATTGCTTAGTGGAAAGCCAGCGATGCTGCAGTGATGGGGCACTGGGAGATGGAGTAGCACTTTGGGGTCTGGATAGGAATATGGCAGCAAGAGGCACAGCCTAAGCACAATCCCACATACTAACATGGAGCACCTTGCCTCTTCTTGTTGCCATAGGCACCATCCTGCCATCATGAAACCCAGCCACCTCAGAAGAAGGTCTGGGGACAGGCTGGGTGACCTCCATATCCGAACCCAACTGAAAACACAGTGCAAGACCACCCAGACCACAAAGAGGAGGCTGCTCACTCTCAACCTGCAAGATGCTGTGAGGAAGCAGAATCCCATGGTGTCCATTGGGTACCACCTCACTCTCAAGGGCCTGCAGGGTGGAATGGAATGGAACCATTATGAAGGGTTCTCTGAGACCACAGAGCACTGTTGGAGGAGTCTTTCCAGGGAGAAGGAAACAGTCATCACCAAAGTCATCAACCATAAGCAAATGTCCAGACCTAGAGCAATGCTCTGGTATCCATTAAAACAACCATGAATGACCCACCTGAATGTGCTGAGTGTGGTGTGTGTGTGTGTGTGTGTGTGTGTGTGTGTGTGTGTGTGTACATATGCATGGATGCATGTGTATGGCTGCATGCTCATGGGGACATAAGATCACCTATACAGAAGTATGTGTGTGACTGTATGTGTGCTCCACAATGAATAAAAATTAGATTTTCTTCATTCAAGTTTCCCCTGGGGAAATTAAAACTAATTTTCAGTTTTACAAGCTAAACATCCAGAGACAAAGGGCAGTAAAACAGAGTAATGATATGGAGTAGGCATTGTCAGGTGGATGAGAGTCAATAAGCTATTTAGGATTTTGTTATTTAGGGACTGGATGCTTAGGGTTGAATAAAGAATGTCAATCGTGCTGGTCAACAGTGGCATATACCTTTAATCCCAGCACTTGGAGGCAGAGGCAGGTGGATCTCTGAATTTGAGGCCAGCCTAGTCTACAGAGTGAATTCCAGGACAGCCAGAGCTACCCAGAGAAACCTTGTCTCAAAAATAAAAAGGCATTTGCAAATGACATTTGTGTGCTAAGTGTAAAAGAACTCCCCTCATAACCACTAAGAAAGGCAGATGGTCACCACTGGATTATTTTGTAGTACTGGGTATTTTGTTGTGGCACTGGGTTTTTGTTTTGTTTTGTTTTGTTTTGTTTTGTTTTGTTTTTATGAAATGGGGTCTCACCATGCAGCCATATTGGCCTTGAACTCAAGGTGTTCTCACCGCCCTCCCAAGATAAGGATTATAAGCATGAGCCACCATGACTAGCTTCGGTTCTGGATACAAACCCAGGGTTTCATTTATGCTAAGCAAGCATGCTACCACTGAGCTACCGCCTAGTCCTCTTCTCACTTTTCATTTTATCTTGAGGCAGGGTCTCACTAAGTAGCCCAGGAAGACCTGACCTCAGGATTCTCCAGCCTCAGCTTCCTGAGTGCTGGGGTTTCAGGTGTGCCCTACCACGCCTGACCAAAATAGAGACATTTGAGCTCCTCAATGGGAGAGCTCTCTGAGCTACAGGACAGTCTGTCTGCATCACCTGTAACAGTGACCCAGCTCTGCCTACCAGAACTGTGGACTGTGAAAGCAAGAGTAAACAATGGGGAAACTTTGTTAATTGCAGGCAGAGGCATGGCCCTGGTGGCGGTTGATGTGGTTGGGCTGTTTAGATGGGAGGATTGTCAGGGTTAATGGCTCATCAACACACATCTTCTCAAGGCCAGTTTAGTCTGTGTGGTCTTGACTCCCAGAGATTTAGAGAAAGTAAATCCCCTTTGAAAGCACTGTGTGTGCTTGCCACTAAGCTGAACCCTTCATTACTGTGGGAAGCCGTTCCAGGCTTACTCTAAGCCCTAACTCTGGATTGAGTTGCTAATCAGAAGGCTGACAAGTCCATGGGTAAAGTCTACTCCAAGCTGACTGACAGGGTAGAAACTGAGAAAGAAGAGCTGATCATAATTTTAGAGGCACTGGGAGGGAAAAACAAATAAACAGATCTGAAGTACTGTGATAAATTTGTTTTGTGACAACATGAAACACTTTGGGAGCATTAGACAATTTGTTACAGAGACTGTTTTGTGGCTGGAGATGGTTCGGTTGGTAGAGTCTCTTGCCTAGCATGGAAGAGGTCCTGGTTTTAATCTCCATCAGATCATAAACAAGGTGTGGCTGTATTCCATCTCTGAACGTGAAGGGACAGGGGCCAGCAGTTCAAGGTCAACCTTTGCTACATAGTAAGTTCCAGGCTAACCTGGGCTACATAAAAATCTCAGAAAATAATATTACTTTGAAATTCATAAAAATTACTCTTCAAGTGCTCTGAGAAATAATTACCAATATGAAATGTTCAAGCTGTTAAGTGTAAGAATAAGTACATTGTTCATGCCCTCTCCACACACACACAGGCCCTCTCTTCCAGTCATGGCCATCAACTGCTCACCTTTGCAATTTCCACGGTGGGCGATCTCCAGCTGTGGATCTTTGCACTTGGCCCGCTGGAACTCGCATCGGGACAGGAAGGTCCTCCCATCAGAGGCACAGAGAGGCTTCTGCGAGGAGCTTGGACAGTCCAGGCTGCAGTCTCTGTCTTTGTCTTGATCAACCCTCAAGAACTTGTGGGGAGAAAAAGAAGCAAGAGAAATTTAAAGAACTCTCGTTGAGCAGAAGACAGGAGTCCAGAGTAGTCAGAGAATAGACTCCACGGAAACATGGCCACTCTGTGCTCATACCTGACAGAAACAGCAAGTGAATTGCTTTCAAAATTATGAGTCATCCATTCCACAAGTAAGCAATCACTAGCCATAAGTTCATATCCTAGGTCTGATGGGAAAACACAGGCAGCCCTTTACGACTGGACGGTGCTCTCCCACTCACTCCCCTTTGGAACCTGTAGACAGAGGAAGAGGTTCACCTACCTGCAGACCTCTTGAGAATCTGCAGATGGTGAAACTCCCAGCGACTAACATCTTAATGAAACTGGCTCCTTCCTCACCCATACTCTCGCAAGAAGCCATCCATCGGCTGTGCAGAGCACAGCATCCTTATCACAGTTTGTAAGAGTTCTCTTCCATGGCTTTCTGCCTAGGCTGTTATTTTGAGGGTGGGGTGTGTAGCAGTTGTCACAGAAGGTTTCTATGTCCCTCTTTCTCAACTGTGAGTCTGCAGTCATCGAGAACACTGCAGAAGTAGCTGCCTTGCCCTTTACAGGGGATCACAGACCACGGACTTCCACACTGCCTCTGGCATCAGCACATACCACAGATCTCACAAATTGAACTTGAGTTTCTTTGTTTTGTTTTGTTTTGTTTCTTTTTGGGTGGGGGGAAGTACAGTGGCGTGGGGGACAGACCTGGAAAGACTAGGAAGTAGATTAGGGTACATTATGTGAAATTTGTAATGATATATTATTTATGATTTATTAAAGCTTGACTGAGGGTTCAGAAAAGCAAAGTCAGCAACAAGCATTAGAAGCCAGGCACACACCTTTAATCCCAACAGCCAGAAGCTAGGAGGTGGTGGTACACACCTTTAAGGATTAAGAGATAGACGGACCTCTATAAACCCAAGACCACCCAGATCTACACAAGAGTAAATCAGCTTAGAGAGAAATATAGCTCACACCTTTAATCCCAACATTAGGGAAGAATATAAGACAGAAGCAAGGTCTCAGAGAGGCATTTATTCTCCAGCTACACTGAGGAGAGGTTACAGTGTGGGACTTGTTGAGAGCTCGTGGAGACCGAACCAGCCCATTCAGCCTGGGGTAGAGATAAGAGCTAGTGGCCCCCTGCTTTGCTTTTCTGATATTTAGCTTGAAGCTTGAACCCCATTGTCAGTCTCTGGGTCATTTATTTATTCATGTTACAGAAATTCCCAAATAACTAATAACAATATTATGTTAGGGAAAAAAGAATCTCTAATGTCATTGTTGCTGCTGTTGTTTATAGTCCCTTTACTAATTCACTCAAGGTCAATGTCTTCTCATACCCCTGGAAGTAGCTAATGTCAGGAGTATGCCCTGCAGGAACTTTAAAATGGCTTCACTGTCCGAATACATGTGTGTATACCCTGCTGAATGAGGTTATTGGTTTTGGTTTTGATTTTTGCTATTGTTGTTTTCTTGAGATAGTGTGTTATGTACCTCAGGGTAGCTTCAAACTTGCTATGGAGTCAAGGATAGCCTAGAAATCATAATTCCCCTACCTCCACCTTCCAAGTTCTGTGCACTGGGGTCCACCACTATGCTTTGTGCATTTTGTAATTTTTATTCTTATGTTTTGAAAGTTATTGTTTTCCAAAAATGTTTTATTGAATGGATGTTTGGTACCACAATTGAGAAGCTGCCGTTATCCCTGTGAAATGTTTTGCACTCCTCGTCCCAAACTTCCCCCTGCAGGAAGAGGGGGGGCCTAAGGGGCCACACTTCCTTCAAGTTCTCACAAGAGTAGTAGCGCTGATACCCTCTCCGTAGGAACCATGGGGGTTAACCCACGGAACCATTTTGCATGATGTAGTTCCCAAGAACAGATTGCCCAAGCTTTTGATCCTTCCTTTCCTCTTTCATGTCCTTGAATTCAATTTGCTATGACTCCTAGGGAAATCTCAATCCAAATGCTTCTGGCCCCCACCCATTCTCCTGGACAGCATTCATCTTGCTTCCTATTCTTCATGCCCACAACCCTGTCCTGTCTGGTCGAGCGTGCCTCATGCCAGATAGAAGAACAAGCACTATGACTTCAAATGACAGAGGAACTAGGAGCCATCACAGATCTGGGTCACGACTGCCATGTATTTCCCAATTTATGGAGCATTAGCAGTACATTAAAAGGGAGAAAGCTTTTTAAAGTAAGAAAGGGGAGAGGGTGGGGAGGAAGAAGAACAGGGAGAGTGGGAAGAGGGGAGGAGAAGGAGGAGTGCTGGGGTTTTAAGCATGTGCTACCACATCTAACTATGTAACTCACTCTCTGGGCAGCCACTCTAGGTCCAGAGCCTGTTTAATTTGCATCTCTAATCCCAGCATGGACTTTTTCCCTTAATCACAGATGGCCCAAAGCAACTCAACCTTGTGCCAGAAAAAAAAAAAAAAAGCAGCTAGCACGTGGGAATAGCCAGGAGGTCCACAGGTTAGAACACCCTGAAAGTCCACACTGAGCTAGCTTTCTTAACACAGGTCAGGACCACCTGCCTAGGGATGGTGCCGCCCACAGTGGGCTTGGTCCTCCTGCATCAATTAGTCATCAACACAATCCCCCTCAGGCATTTGAAGCTAACTAGGACAGTGAAGTGTAGATCACCTGCTCTTCTCAAATTTAAACAAAGCCAAGCCAGATAGGAAACAGATACAAACACTCTCCACCACCTTAATATAGAAAAATTTCTGCTGTAACTTTGATCAGACCCTTGTCAGTCATGTGATGGGGTAGCATGTGGAACAGTATGTCGCTAGTGACACACACAACTCCATGGCTGTAAGATTCCACAAGTTGTCCCGAACCACAGCCCTCCACAGTGGGTGTGAGTGCTTTGCATGATGCAATGTCCCACCTCTGATGCCAAGACCCATCTTTCATTTAGGTACAGAGCCTTAGACAAGGTACCACCAGGGAACAGGACTGAAGGGAAGACAGTGTAGGGAGCCGTCCCTGCATTCTCCATTACAAGATGGCCCCTGCATCCGGCAGGCACCAAATGTAAACAAGTTAAGGCCCCAAGGCGCTGGGTAACTTTCCATTCCTTGATCTATGCCTCTTCCGTGGTGTCATATGGTCCGATGAGCTGCAGCCAATCATGGGGTAACGCGTCCGAGGCCGTGGTTGCCAGCCTTTATAAGGGATGGGTTCTTGGGAGTTCGGGGTCTCCGCATTTGTAAGCTTATGCTCTATCTGTGACGACACATAAAAGCTTTACTGCAGAAGGATCCAAGTGTCCTGTGTTGTTCTTGCTGGCGAGACAATCGCGCGGGACAAGACGATGCTGGAGTTGGGGGAGAAGACCTGCCTGGGTTCTCAGAGACCATGGATGAGAACTCATCTCCACTCTGCAGCTTAGAGTTTATGGACAAAGATGTACCACAAAGTCTAGCCTCAAGGTTTTACACAACTGAACAAGTGCTGCCTCTAACTATGCAGTGTCACAAAGGTTCTACAACTGTCACCAGAGGTAATGGCCCCATGAAGATAGTGACATAGACTCGTCTACTGGAAGTGAATGTGGATCTCAACTGTGAAAATTTTAGCCTTCAAGTTCGGGACTTAGGTTCGATGCCTCAGCAAGATAGGTGGTACAAAAGAACCTTACATGTGTAGACATTTGAAAACTAAGAGAAACTACCGAGTGAGCTACATCTTGTCATGAATTACAGGACTAGATGAAATCTGGGGGACCAAAAGGCACCTGTGTGACCAGGGAAGGCATGGGGAAACACCCAGACCAGGACTCTGTGTCTAAAATAAAGGATGAGTTGACCTTGACTTCAGAGGTTGACACTGTATCATGCCCCAGGCGCTCACAGCCTCTTCTTGTATGAAATGGAGATGATAAAACAGCACCCATTTCATAAAGAGATGGTGTTCTGGAAAATATCTTGGCCAGACATGAAGAAGTCATTGACAATGAGTCCTACTAATCACATACCTGGAGTCATTATTTTAATGTGCACATGTCCACTGTGGCTTCATTCCAAAACTCACACAAATACCACTGTACTATGTGAGCTTTGGGCAACCCTCCCATGTGTGACTACGTCCAGGTAAAAGATTGGGAGTGTGCAGTAAAAAAGAGCTAAAATAGGTGAAAAGGTGAGAGTCTTTCCAGAAAGTATTTTTAAAAGATTTAGCAGGGTTCTGGGGAGGAAAAACAGAAGCTTGGCTCTGTCCAGGGTGGCTAGAGTAAGTCAGGGGACATCTGATGACAGGTGGACAGGGAGAGGCTAAGGCTAGAGGTCACTCTCTCGGGACCAAGGATAGGGAGAATGTCACCTTGGATGAGGAGTAAAGTGAGGCCATGAGGGATGCAAGTGCAGTGAGGAGCCCAGCCCTACCACCTTGCTGGAGATCTCTGAAGTAGAGTCCTGGACAGAGCAGGAGACATCTAAGACATCCATCCAGGTGATTCATGGTCCTTCTTCTTCCCACCCATCACTTTCCCTACCTCCCCTGATTTTTAGTATTTATTTTAATGGGCATAAAACCTTGTGTACATGTTTTTTAGACATGCCCATTTTTGGTACTATGACTTGACAGTTCCATCATTCTCTCAGCTTCTGAAACCCATGGCTGGACTCAGGTAAAGGTCAGGCTGTCCTTCTTGCTCTGTGATTCTCTTCCTCATCCCCCAAACATCTCTCTCTCTCTCTCTCTCTCTCTCTCTCTCTCTCTCTCTCATTGCCTCATCCTCCTAACTATTTTCATCGGTGAGAATAGGTGCCTTTGCTTACTGTCGGCTCCTCTTGGATGAAATTCAGTTCATCATCCATACAGGTTTGTTTTCAAGAGTCAGTGGGAACCTCATTATCCTAAATTCTTCCTAATAAGATGCCATATGACTGTTATTGCTTCACTACAACAGTTACCTTTGGCAATAAGGAAATTCCCTGCCTCTGCATTCTGTCGTCACTCTTTAAAGTCAGAAGTGGTGGGTCTACAAACTCACTGTGCAGTCCTGAGACAGAGCTGGTCTTCAGATGCACCTGCTCTGCCTAAGGCCTCTTCCCTGTAGAGTGTTTGTGGAAGGTTTCATGGGCTTTGTGAACTGTCTTCAGTGACAACCAAGAAGCAGTTTCTTATCCAAGACCCCAAGAGGAAGCAAGAAAGTGCCAATCAAACATCAATAACTCCCATACCAGGTCAGAGTTCTGGGCCATCACACAGTCCTGGGATATGAGAGAACCCTCCTCAAAGACTCAGAAAGTCAATTTGGAGCCCTCCAACTGGAAATCACCAGGAGATGACATTTCCCCATTTATGTAACCTCAGTGCCTCCAATGGCACTAGCCCCA